AAAAAAAAAAAAAAAAGACTTCAAAATTTATACTGTGAGAAGAGATTTCAGGAACCCCACAGTGCATTTCTTTCTAAATGCTAAGTACAAGGTCACTTTCAAGCCTTGACTGGCTCCTTTGGTCAGAGAAAAGCTCAATACAAATTTTGCTAAAGATTTCCACTCTATCAGACTTCATTTCCTCCCTGAAGTTCCACTATCTTCTCTATCCTGTGGGGTACTTCTTTCTCCCAAAGCTGGCTGTTAAATAAGACTGTCTCAAGCACAGTCCATCATCCACATGTATCTGAAACAGGGAAGCTAAAATTACTGCATGCAAGGAGCAGTCTCAACTTACACAGCAAGAGCTGACCTTATTATAGGGTTAGAGAAGCACAGAACACAAGGACTAGTGAACTTCCAGAAGTAGTGTTTAGGGATTGGCTGATTCCACCAGTAGGATACTGGAGGCTACTGCTGACTGGCTGGCTCTCAGGAGGGCATTACTGAAATGAGGCTTTCAGTGAGCTCTATAGCTATTCCCAAGGCTTAGGACTACAGCTAACAAACTATCAATGTTTTTCAGAACTTGAGGAATAGGAACTTTTCATTCTCAAATACAAGTGCCCCCATCCCCTCGCTGTCATCGTGGTTCCCCAAAAAACAAGCACACTGATCCCATTTTATTTTTAAAAGGAGAAAAGGTTTCCCTTCTTTAGCAGTTTGTCAACAGCTTTAAGGAAACCAACTGAGAATAAAATACACAACACAATTACATAAGTTTCATAACTGTTACTAATTACTTAGGGGAAGGGAAGCTGACTTTTACTTGTAATTTATCCATTCTAAGCATAATTTATTCATTTTTAGATCCATCATTAAGACTTTTACCATAATTTATCCATTCTAAAATACAAGTCCATATAAAATGCCCAATGAATAACTAGGAAAGAAATGGTTCAATGATTTCATATTTATAGATCCTCTACAGATACTGTTGTCAATGTATTCTTTGTACTCTATAAAATCTGTATTTTCACCACTAGGAAAGAGTAGGCTGGGTCAGCCAACTTTATTTCCATATTATGCACTAATTCAATAAATATTTGTTCTCCAATTTTGTGATAAACATGGAACTACTATTAAAATTTCATGCACATACACAAGAAAATATTTCCCATAGGAGTATTAAAGGGTTACTTTTGCTGTTTTAGTATCACAGTCACTTAAGGATGTTTTATTATGAAAAAATACACTTAAAAAATTAAAGTCATTCAGGTAATAAGCAATATATCTTAAGCCACAGACCCTTCTTTTTTAGTTCCTATGAAATCTAAATTCTAAAAGAATTTTCACTTGAGGCAGCACAGCACAATGCTCACCAGCACAGAGTCTGGAGCTATGTGCCTGAGTTTAAACCAACTCCTCTGTCAACTACCTGGCTAACCTTGGGCAAACCACTTAATCTCTCCAGGCCTCTGGATGCTTCATCTGTAAAACGGAGAGTTAAAGAGTGAGGGGCAGGGCTAATTTACCTCCTGACAGTGTAAACCTGGGTTCAAAGTTAAAAGGTGTCACCAAAATCCTGGGAGCTCTTCAGCCAGAAATCTGGCCATCGGCTCGGCGCCT